GGTCACCTCCGGGGCTGGCGGGAATCGAACTCATGCTGAAGAGGCTTTAGCCTCTCAGTGCTGTGCTTTAACCCTCTGCGCCACCAGGGAGGGCCATCCCTATTTTTGAATTTTAATACATACGAAAACCCTCACTTTTCTCAGACACCTCCAGGGGAAAAGGGACAGTAATCACTGCCCTTCCGGTGTGGCATTTAATGACATGCTGTAGTAGGAAGAATGGTTGTACTTGGGATTCCTTTCTTGATTTTAAATAGTTTCTTCAGGAGAAAAACAATCTTCTTTCCGTTTAAATAGTGTTTAAAAAGTAATAAACTTTTTTTTCATCAGTTTCATTTAAGAAAAATATTTATGAGATGAATTAAGAAATAACTCCTCAAAATGAACATATCAAATAGACAAGTTAAAACTTTCAATATTACCAACATTTTTTTAAAAAGAATGAGCATTAGATAAAATGAATTGTCCTTAAACAGAATGTAGATTTCTGAATCTTCTTCTGCAGACACCCTTACTATATGAATACAGACTTTAAACGCTGGAAAGCTAAGTTTATTCTACATAAACTTAGTCCCAAGGGCTGCACTGAGCCTTTGGGACCTTCTTCTGTGTGTTTGTGGGAGATGGGGAAGAACCAGATAGGGGGTTTCTTGCCCCTGAAGCAGTTCAGAGGCAGGAGAGGCGGGTACTTAGTAATGCAACAGAGGAAATGACGAGAAGGAAATTGTTTTGTGTCTCAGGAAACATGTGGAATTCCAAGATAAGAAAAACAGTTGCTAATTTGAGTATAAAAGCAGGAAATATGATACACTTATTTCCTTTTATGCAAACACAAGTATATGAGGGTTGTGTGAAAACTGCTTTTCTCCTGCCGAACCACAGAGACCGGGAGTCAAAGTGCTTGCTTTGGGCATACTGGCTTTTATTTCTTTCTGTTTTCCTTCTCTCTTCTCTTTCTTGTGGATATTATGGCTAATAACACAACAAGTTTAGGGAGTCCATGGCCAGAGAACTTTTGGGGTAAGATATTTTCTTTAACTATTTTTAATTTTAAATTAAGATGGAAATGATAACATAGCCAACCTAAGGGAGAACAGTGGAATGGGTTTAATTTAAAATCAACGTTTTAAATTTAAGATCAAATGCATACTTTATTAACACTGGCAATTAATGAGACATTTTGCTTACTGTAAACTGGTTAGTGAACATTTTCCTAGATCTACTAAAAAGTATACTTATAGGAAATATCTTTGGGGAAGACTACAGAGACATTCATTCAAGAGGAATCTGGACAAGTACAGATTTGGGCTAGTGTTGCAAAGTATAATTTAAAAACTAGGTTAAAATGTGAAAGGAAATAGAAGGTGGAAGTAATTGCTGTCTGGCATTTTGTTGGAGACTTAAGTTTTATTGTTTAAGGTAATTGATTGTCTATTCAATGAAGCCAAGAATTACTATACATGTTATTTTAACTGATACTGTCAGTGTTATATTCTTTAACACCCAAAGTAAATCTAAGTAACAAATCTATATATAGATGAATGAATTTAGAGTGCGATGACATATACAAAATGAGGAATCACATTATGAAATTAGAGGAAAAAAACAGTGGAATGGAAGTAGCATCTCATGGAACATTGCAAAGAATGCCTTTCACGGGAAAAAGGAACAAATTCAAAGTGTTTGGGGTTGAGTTGAGAGACAGCGACTGAGTCGGGCAAGCAGCGGCGGATGGTTTTAAGTTCAAAACCAGCAGTGTTCAGGATGAGAGGTCCAGGTTAGCCAGGGCTAGGATGCTCAGTTCCTGTGTCCTTTGGGTTTCAAGGAAATTTTAACACTAAAAGCACATTTTGAGTTAAATCCAAAAAAAAATTTTTTTAAAGAGAAAATGGGCTGGGGAGAAGTCTATGGCTCTACTTACTAGATCAGAACAAGTGTTTAGTTCTCTTAGAAAACTGTTTCAGATTTTCTGTTGCAGTTCAAAGGAATATTCTGGAAATTCTCAGGTGAGAAGAGAGCAGCAAAGTGACCAGCACAGAAGTTTGCAAGGAAGGAATTAATTCTTTTACCCCATCAAGTGTTTTTGTTTGATTCAAGTCTGGAAAGGAGGAATATTAGCAAAGATTTTAATATAATTACTTTAAAAAAGGCAAATCATGCTTTCATATTATAGAGTGGCTTGGGAGCTAAGTTACTCCAGGTGGACACCCAGAGACAACAGGTCTTTGAAATGTGGGAGTCTAATCACACAAGTAAGCCACAGAATCACTTACTTAAAGAGCAAGTATGTGAAACACACACTAACTACCAACTAGTGTGTTTATATTAATTACATCTGTCATTAATAAATTTATAGATATATATATACTAAATTTATAAATTTTTTAATGTAAAGCAAAAATTAATCATGAAAGCCAGAGCTATTTTTTAAGCTATTCATGGCTAAATGTCAGATTTACTTAAAGAATCATTATACACTGATGAAACCATGGATAAAAATCATAAAATAAGCCAGAATGAATGAGAGGCAGTTTGGTTAGAATCTATTTTTAGCAATCCTTGCAAAAATAGTTATTTTAACATAGAAATTTGTGCTTGAGAAGAACTCAGTTACTGTTCTAAAGATAGTTGCTTGTGGCTTTGTCTTAGTGTGTGAATACAATAGAAAATAGATGCATATAATGAATGGTTTCCATTATTTTGTAAAGGAAGTGTTACATTGATAAGCATTAACAAAACCCATGTAAATGTGGTGAACAAATATGTTTGTTGATTTGGGGAAAAGATATTTCTTTAGGGTAAAGTATTTTAAGTGAAAAATGCAAATAATGCAAACACTTCCTAAAATATAAATGCTGATCTTTTCCATTTCTTTTTTGCATGTAAATTTTAACCCACTGATTCTATGAAAATATTATTTTGAAAACTGTAATGCCACATTGGGCACTGATTCTGAAATCAACGGTCTGCTTGGCATTTTGAATTTAGAGGGGGAAAATAGTAACTTAAAAATCCCATTTAACAACATGTGATTTAGCTGTCCCAAACTTAACTGCATTAAAAAGTTGTTCTCCAAATATAATTTTCTGGCTTACTTTAATGAATGTTAACAAATAAGATAATTATAATCAAGTTAATATCAATAATGACTGCATTTTCAGTCATCACCTCAAAACTGACTACATGTTATGCAAGTATTAAAGCATTTAGTGCAAGAGTGTACAGCAGAATTAGCCTGAGTGATATCCCAGCTAAGACCACATTCTTGCATTTCTCTCTCTTTTTTTTTTTAAGATTTATTTATTTGTAAATACAGAACTGAGGTACAGGCCAGAGGCTCAGGGGCGGTGAGAGGATTCACCAGAGACAGAGCGGGAGCAGAACAGGCAGATGGAAGAAGTACACTGCTGAGGGGAGCAGCAGAGGTGACAGGAGAGGTCTGCCGCACCTCCAGGGCAGGCAGGAATCGAACTCATGCTGAAGTGGCTTTAGCTTCTCAGTGCTGTGCTTTAACCCACTGCGCCACCAGGGAGGACCCTCATTTCTCACTTTTTAAAAAATGCGCTTCTTTTCTCCATAACCATCTCCTTGAAAGCATTATTATGAGAGTTAGCTGTGCCCTGGGCTAATAACATAGTAGATGCGTTTGGCTAAATTTGGCCATCAACTGGGTACTTGGAGTCCCAGGAAAGACACATTTTTGGTGATACTTTATGCCTTAACTTGCATTATTTTTTCTTTATTGGCAAGCTTTGCCAAAATGAGGAATGATATTGGTTCAGGAGCCTGTATAATCCTGTGTCTGTTCTCAAATAAACATAATGTGTTCTTGGAGGACATTATGTTACCATACATATGCAAATAGATGCCTATATTATTGTGGAATCTATGATATTCCAGCCACATACACCACAGACAGTATGTGGTAAATGGCAATGATCGAAGAGTTAAAGATGTATGGCAGAAATGCTGCCTAAATCCATAATGAGGTTTTACTTGACCTTAGAAAACCAGGTAAAATTCAGGTAGTGAGATAGTTCAAAGAAGGACATTAGTCATTTGTTTTGCATTCACTAACTCATTTATTCATTCACTCATCCAGTTCATTCACCGACTCAGAAGCACTGAATTATATATAAGACCCATTATACATAAGACAATATGGAAGGTGCTAGTGATATAATAAGGCACAGCTGGTGAATTTCAGAGGATTCAGGAGAAATATTACTAGCTTATCAGCAGCAGTATAAACACACAAGCCATGTTTGTAGAGAAGTGAATGGCTTGAGTCAGATTTATATAAAATTCTGAATATCAGTGTAAAATTTTGGCTCATTGACATAGTTTTTAATTTAGTGGGTTCAGGTCTTCTTTTTCCTTCCCTAGGACTTTCTCTAAAGTTGGAACAGAGCTGGGTTGGCTGTGGGGGTTATACATTATGGTGAGTTTTGGCAGGAGATGGACCTTAGGTTTTGATCAAGTTTTGACCTCTGCTGACCTCTGCTGATAGGCAGTTATCATTCGGGGGCTCTTGGCCTCCACTGCTGAATTCTCTTCCCATGGAATTGGCCCTTTCGGTCCATGAAACATTTGCTAATGGCATGCTTTGTCCTTGCTGTAGGTCTTTCTGTTCTAGGGTCCTTATTCAGGTATCTTTCCACAGAATGTTCAATGCTCTTACACAATCTTGGAGCTGTGGAAGATTCCTAAGGTCAGGTACCCCAGGCCTAGAAAAAGTAATCCTACTCCCTGTCCCCCATTCCTACTCCTAAGCAGAGCTGGGAAATGATGCCTATTTGTCTATATCTGGAAAAGCTTGTGGAAGCCTGGCGTTCTATTTGTTTACTGTTTAGCTTTGATAATTCTGTATCTTTGCTTTTTGCTCCAGTTCTGTAACATTAAATTCAGCATCCTTTATATTATTTATTATATTCTATTTTACATTTATTTGATTTAGTTGTCTTTTGCTAGTTTCTTGATATGGAAGCTTAAATCAGTGATTTTCAGTCATTCTTTAAAAAGTATATTATTTCTAGTACAATGATTTCCTCCAAAGATGACTTGTAGTGAAATTCCAATGTTTTGACATTTTGCATTTTTTATACAGTTCAGCTGACATATCTTCTATTTTTCATCAAATATATATTTTAAAATTTTTTATAGGTTCCCATTCCCCACTGAAAATGGAGACTTTCCAACCTTAAAAAAGCACATCAATCACACTTATTTTCATATTACATCTACTAACTATAAGTAACTAGCTTTATAATTAATATCAATATGTATAATATATATAAACTAGTAATCTTGATAATCTGGATAACTATAACATCTGGTTAATCTGTATATTTTCAACAGTACATTTGCTTTCTTGGTATTTACTATGTTCTCAGTAGCTTGATGAAAGTCAGTTATCGTATATAGCAATTAATGTGCATCTTATTCCTTTGGGACAGTTTAACCTTCTACTCTAGCAATACTTTAAGTACATTTATACTATGTTTTATTTTTGCTTTTGGGCAAAACTACTTCCAAATCTCTCAACCATTGCTTATTTGCCCCATACACAAAGTAATATGTCAAAGTTTTTTCTTCCATGAAAGTTTTGCTAAACATTTATATGCAAATTATTTTAAATTTTCAAATGTAATGACACTTATGTAGCCTGTAACACCTGTGCATCTCATTTATTTTTCTCTAAGATTGTCACTTTATGAATCTTTTGTTCTAATCTGGAAAGATGAACAGAAATCAAAAGTAAAGTTGGCATCAGAGGTGGGGCACCATGAAATCTTAAACAGGGTGTTTAGGGTAGGTCTCAATGAGAAGGTAACATAAGAGCAAAGATCTGAAACCAACTGTATAGATGAAGGAGAAAAGAATTTGCGAAATAAATTAGAATTAGTGCAAGACCCTAGTTAGGTGCTCACCTGGAATATTTACAATGGCAAAGAGGGGAGCATGGATGGTGAGATTAACACAGATTAAGAGTCGAGATTAACACAGATAATTAGGAACAG